TTTTATTTTTTTTAAATGGAATGGGAGCAGAGCGCGCAATTCCGATGGCGCGCAAACAGTTCCTGAAAATTAAAATGCAGAAGTGCATGGGAAAGGGCTAAAGGGAGTAAAACGTGGCGGGGGGACACATGCACGCACCAAGGGAAGGAGGCTGTGCAGGTGGGGGACAGGCTGCAGGGCCCAGGCCCGGAAGGGAGTAGGAGAAGTAACAAGGCGGGGGGGCTGGAGAGCTGCGGACCCCCTTTCTTGCCCTCCGCAGCTTGCTCAAGGGTGGTGGGAGACCCTCTGTGACGAGCAAGAGGTCTTCTTGCACCCACGTTACTCTGCTGGGCCTGGAGGTGAAAGTGTAAACCTAGAAGCAGCCATAGAAAAGGAGAGCGTGCCGTAAATCTAAACCTTTCGGAACCCGACGGTACAAAGGGCCCCACGCAGCGCTGTGGGAGCGGGGAGCGTGTCCCGGCCCGGAGCAGGGCTGGGGAGGGACGTCGAGAGCGGGTGCCACAGGGAAAGCGGCACTGTGATACCACGTTGGTGCGTGGCGAAGGCCGCCGTCCCTGGGGCCTGCGCGGGGGGATACCAGCCACGCGTACACCCCCTGTAAAACTTCTGGCTTTCTAGATCCCAGGCCTCGTTTTCGCTGATCTGTATCTTCCTCCGATCCTCTCCTGGACTGGGAAGTGTCCCGCTTTCCGCGATGCGCCATGAGCACACTGCAGTACGCTCAGAGATACTCTTTGGATAAGGACATGTGGTCATTTGTACCCCACGGTGAAATGGTGAGAGAAAAACAGGAACTACTTAGAAGATAAGGGCCTTTCCAAAGGGCACGGAGTGCAGACTTACCGTGTAATACAAAAATACCTGATCACTCTTAACTGTGAAAATGTCGCCAGGTCAGCACAGTCCCCCCCCAGCAGTGCTCCAGAAGCTGGCTACCCACTGACCACCAGGATATCAACGTGGAGTGTCCCCCACGTTGATGTCAACTCGGCCATCTTCCTGCGTGGCCTTAAAGCCTAGTGAGAAATGGGTGCTAAGGTGGCCGCCTGGGAGGGGGGTGCCCCCACCAAGTTGGACGTTCTCCTGCGGCTGTTTTATGTAGATGTGAGGATATCTGGTCTAGATGAGGGGTGGACTCCCTCTGCAGCTGGAGGCTGGGTTTGTTTTCTGGAATCGGAACTGCCCATAACCCGCTCCAATGGACTCCTCCCTCAGGAGCCCCCAAAGCCACCAGCAGCCCCATTTCTCACGCGAAGTAATGGTTCAGAGAGAGCACTCACCTGCTCATCGCCCTTCTAGCCGAGCTGCTGGCCCTCGTGGAAGTCAAGCTGGAGTCTTCTCCTGATGCCAGTGGGTACTGAGCACAGCATCACGTTTGGTGCCTCCAACTCCATCACATGTTGCGTACGGGTCAAGGAGGCCCTGCTCTGTACTTCTTCCTTGAGCATGAGTTGCCGTAATTTTGCCTGTGGCGCAGGCTACCGAGCACCCATTTCAGAATAGCTTTGCAAAGCTGCTGTGCACCCTGCCTGCAGGGAAGAAGGGCACAGATGTCCTCCCAGGAGGAGGTGGCACCCACGAGGGCTCTGTCTTCTGCCCCAGCCGTGACGTTTGGAAGAAGGGACTTGTTCACAGGTCCTGGCACGTGGTGTGAGAGTATGTAAGATGGGTGACACTGCGTGGGACGTGTATTCACAGAGCTGCAATGGTCTGTGCAGGTGCAAGTCATCCAGACAATACAGGCACACTGGGGTGCTTTAGGTGCCAGAAGAACTCCAAGGCACAGATGATGTGGGCAGTCAGGATTTTGGCCTCAAGAGACTTATGAGAACATTTAAGGGACGGTGTACACCGTCAATATTACTTACTGCTTTTAGCATATCAGCTTCAGTGTGTCTTCAGTGACTGCCTTGGTGGCCAGAGTACCGAGTTCAGCGAGGCTCTGAGTCTTGAACTGTTCCTGAACAAAGCCGGTGACAGCCGCTGGGACCTGGCTGCCTGTTTCATCCGCTCCCTGCCGTAAGATGTTTCTTTGAACACCTCGTAGACAAAGAGTAGACGTGGGAAAGCAGCCGGAGCAGCGTGCTCCGTGAGGGAAGGCGGGATGGGAGCCGCGGGCAACCACAGGCGAGGCGCAGTCCCAGACCCTTGACACGGATGATGGCACAAAGTCCCACAGCCTCCAGTGGGTGGCCAGAGCAGGGTGGTGATGGCCACGGCTCCACCACCAGCGCAGCTCTCTTCAGACAAAGGTCAGTACCTCACGAGGGAGGCCCGAGGCTGCCCGGGAGGTCCCACAAGGGCCTGAGAGCTGCGAGGGACTGGGCACCCTGTTCTTCTGCTGTACCCCCAGAAGGCCCAGGCCAAAATGGGGCTCCCGTGCCCACAGGCAGGGGCCGGGGGTGGCTGAGGGCCGCTTGAGCCCGCTGGAGCTGGCAGGGCTCCATGACAGCCTGCCCTTCTCTTCAGGCGGAGGCCCTTCAGG